CTGATTCGCTCTCAGCGCCAAGACTCAGGCCATTTGGCCGTGTCAGGGCGACAAACCCTACCTGCCGAGCGCAGCAGGAAGGGTAGAGGTGGATGCAGGCGATCATTCTCAGGCAGTGAAGCAACTGCATCGCGAAGACGACTGAGCTCATCGGCAAGGTCATTCCTGTTTGATGTGCTCGACCGAGGCATGCAAGCCATTCCGGCGCTGAAAGTCAAGAAATGCAAGGAGGACCTCGCCCAGGATCTTGACGGAAGACATCCCTTTCACTGATGCAAGCTCCGCACCGGAGTTGTCAGAGCGCATCGGTATAGTGAGCTGATGGCGTGCCCATGGCACCATCTCCGAGCCATCCAAAGAAGGCAATACAGAGCGAGGAGCTCAAGTGCACAGATGTGAGGCTTTAGCGAACCATCCAGGGATGGAAAGAGTTGCTTCACCTGCGATGGATTCAAGGAGATGGAAAACCATCTGTAAACACCAGAGAGACACTGATTGTATCCACCCAAGTCCGCACATGTCCTCGTCCGCGAAGGCATCGGCTTCAGCCACCAGATGCAGCAATGGAGCTTGCTTGATGTTGAAGACACAGGGTGTGGAGCTCAAATTGGCCGCCCAGGAAGGCAGAGTCGGGATGGACAGCAGAGAGAGACATCGAAGTGGGCGGTCAGCATCCTGAATGGAGACCCACAAGCGACGCTTGATGAAGGGAACACGCTTGAACTGCGCCAAGGAATAGATTGTAGTGTTCCCAGCACGAGTCAAGCGTGCACCTTCCGGGAATGAAGCGTGATTCAAGGAGCGCAACAGGCGTCTTGAATCATCACAAGCATCCAGGACCTGAGTCCACAGCTGCGGCGACACTGCCACGATGGCGCAGGGTATGTCGCGAAGGGCAGCATAAAGTGGTTGAAGCAAGGGGCGCAGCAGTCGCCCAAAGTCCAGTCAGCCAGAGAAGACGTCCAATGATGGATTCAAGGTCCTTAACTTTGACACGCTTCTGCCTGCACAACGAGGCGAGCTGGTGGAGGATACGATGGATCTTGTCTTCTGGCAGCTCCACGGTCCATGAATCGAAAGAGATTCTCCAGCCGATCCAGGTGATCTGATCACCAATGGGAGCATTAGGACCACGAGGTGGACAAGTTGATGCAGAGAAGCAACATCACCCACAAACTCACATGCAGAGGAGCAGTGGACTTATGAAATCAGGCCAGCCAGTCATCCACATAGACCCAGAGAAAGTGCTTTAGGAAGATGATGTAGTGTGTGACCCGGTGTATGGCACCGGCCAGGCGGGCCCAGTACCAGGACGAGGCACGGGCGCCAAAGTTGAGGCAGATGCTGACGAAGTAGCGCCCCCGAAAGGAGAAGGCAAGCAATGCCCTCTCGTGCTGAGCCATTTTCATGCGACGGTGAGCATTCTTCACGTCGATGGAGGCTCCCACCCAGGGGACCGACGGCACAAAGGAGGGTGCACAAGAAGACACATCCTCAATGCGAGGATTGGAGACGTGATTAGCGCTGATGCTGGAGTCCACACCCAGTCAGGGAGAGCGACCTTCCGCAAGCACAAGTCCAAGACGTCCTAATGCAACCTGAGGAAACTCATTCCGTATTGCCTCAAGAGATGCATACTCGGAAATCCATGACTCGCGAAGTTCCTCTTCGAGCAAGGAATGCACGATGTCAGGCTCGCTGTCAGCTGACTTCCAGGCACCCTCACAAGGACGCAAAGCAGGCAGGACGAGCTCAGAGTCACGCTTGGGCCAATGCAGGGAGGGTTCCAGCGAGGCGCCCACTCCCAGAGAAACAACAGACTCCAACTGGTCATAAAGAGAAGCTTCGGGATCCTGGATCTTCAGCAGCAAGGAGTTCAGCAGGCGCAAGCGCAAGGGTTGGCCTGGAGCGATGAAGAGCAAGTCAGCTTGCTCGGGAGGGCTGACCTGGAACGCCTCAAAGATGTCCTGCAGGAATGGAGAACTCTCCACCTGCATCAGCGGTGGACCCTGAGGCGCCAACTGAAGGTGAGCCGCTATGCGCAGACACAAGCCCGTGTCGAAGAGGCGTTGAGACCAATGAGCGCGGAGTGAGTGCAGCAGGTCAGCGGCGGCAGGCTGCAACCAAGAGGCAGTGCTGTGGACGCCGCCTCCGTCCTCCACTCGGCATGAGGGCTCCTCCCAGGCTGGAGATGGAAGGAAGGAGCGCCACCTAGAAAAGTCCACACAGTTGCCGAGGCTGGACAGGAATGGAGCGCACACGCTTGCCAGAGAGGCAGCCAACTCAGCAGGGTATTCAGCCGTGCAGTGGCTGAGAAATCCAGAGCCATCGCGCTTGCCAACAAAGGACTCATGTGTGCCGCGGGGATGTGTGCAGACAGAGGCAAGATCCAGGATGCAGGGTTCGTTACAGATGAACATCCAGGATTTGGAAAAGGAGGCGACAACCATGCAGGATGTAACCTGCGCACAGAAAGGGGCCTCGCAGGAGATCCAGTCCATCATGAGCTGATCATGAAATGTAAGAGACGAAGCAGGATACTCAAGGATAATGAATCCACCTGAGGCACCGACGCGAGAGAGCAAAATGCGAGTGCGAACATGCAACAGCGCACTCTCCAGAAGTTGTCCAGACTCTTCCCAGCTGAGGGCGGGGCGTCCGGAGGGGAATTCAAAATCGCGAAGGGGTTTGGGGCTCAGCATCAGCCACGCTGCAAAGCAATGCAAAGAAGTCATCATCGAGGATGCGCGAGATGCATCGGTGATGAGATCCACAGGCGGGAAACAGTCGCAGTTGATTGCAAGCAAGACGTGACAGGCGTGCGAGCCCCTGCAAACAAGTCCAGGAAGAGCCTGGGCGCAGCAGGAGGAAGGTTGCAAGGCCCAAGAAGGGCATCCTTCCCAAGCGGTGCAAAGGGGCCGGATGTAGCCCGAGGTGCAGCCAGAGAGTCAGATAGGAGCATGCACGGACCACAATGCAACGGGAGTAAGGTCTGCTGAAATGCCGAAACAGCACGCTTTTGAGGCTGCAGGTTAGAGCCGTGTATGCAAAGTCCGCTGGCGGCAGAGGAAAGGCTAATGCAGAGAGGTCGGATCGGAGCGAAGGGTAGGCCTCCAAATGCAGTGCAGCTTCGAGAGTGTAGGCTGCAAGCACCACACGCAATCCCTGGGAAGGAAGCACCTCATGTGGGCAGTCCCGAGCGTTGAAAGACACCGGACCTGAGGCGACAGGAAGCAAAGCCAGACGTGCAGTTGACTGGGGCTGATCAGTGTCAGCATGAGGTGTCGCCTCGAACACGCGAAGTTCACCCCCGGAGAAGCATGACAATGGAATCAGGACGTTGGGGCACAGGCATGGAGACGGTCCTGATGCCGGGGAGAATGCACGCCTGAGATGATAACAGAACTGGAAAAGAAAACCTCAGGGGCAAAGGCCCTGATGAGCTTAATGACAGCACGGACAGAGGCAGGATGGCAGAGGCACAGTTTGCGGACACTCGGCTTGAATCGGAAGAAATAGACCGGCCGCCACAGATTGGCCAGACTCGAGCTGGTCATCCAAGTCCGGGGCTTCCTGCACGAGTGCCTCTGCCAAGCGCAAGACATCAGCACAGATGCAGGCTGCTAGCGTATATTGGTACCAGATGCAGCCGAAAGAGCAGGAGGAGTCAGGGGCATCAAGCGTGGCGCCAATGCAGTGTACACTTTTGGGCGCGCGAAAATCATATCGGCGAGGGCGTCAGTCAGCAACCATCCTTGGTCGGACTGAATGGAAGCGCCTCCGACCCACAGTGCCCTGTCTGCATCAGCAATCTCCTGCAGTGATGGAGGTCGTATACTGCGATCAGAGGGAATGGCCAAAGCAATGCTGAGAAACTTCTCAGCAGCCTTCCTGAGATGCAGTAGGTGAGCAGCATAATGCAGAGCAATGGCGTACCTCAGAAGATCCCAGAACCGACGTGCAAGGGTCTCCATGCACAGGGCCGGACTGAGGTACAGAGGCTGTGCATCCATCCTCAGGTGGACCTTCTTGCAGAAGGCGTGTGAGAAGTATGGTATCCGTCCGCGGACGACGCTGTTCCAGAAACCTCTCCTCGTCAAATGCAGAAGAGCACAGTCGCCAGGGAATCCAGTTGAAGCGTTTGGAGTCGAGATTGTCACGAACCAATGCAAGAAACGGGGATGACAGCATGATGTCCAGGCGAACAAGTTCAGATGGAGAGGCCTTCATGAACTTCTGCATGAGCTCAGCGATCTCATCCTGAGTGAAGATTTTCTTCCCCGGGCCCGGCGATGGAAGAGCAGCGGCCAACTTCCCAACTACCACAGCAGCACGCAGGAGTGGGGCCAAAACGATGCTGGCCTGCAAAGTGTTGAAACTCCATCATTTCTAGAACAAGCAAGATGTTCTGCTGCGCTGCCAGCAGAACATCTTTCTTGTTCTTGAAATGATGGAGAAGATCTGGGCTGTGTCCTTGAAAGATGAGCCTTTCTTTTGGCAGCACATAACGATGAAACTCCATCTGGCTGCTGGGCAGATGGATGTCTGCAGCGGACACGACAAGCAGCAGAGGCCCATGTGTTCACAGACCGAAAGCCAGCAGAGCCATGGAGTTGACGCCTTTGTCCGTGAGCGACTCCAGCCAGCCCGAGGGAGAGTCATCTCCTCGCAACGCTTCAGAAAGCAAGCAGGATCATCGTGATGGGAGGGGCAGCCATGAGCACTCGAAAGCAAAGGCTACAAACTGGGCGAAGCCCGAATGCTCCAGCAGGTGCAAGAAAAAAGGGGGCAACGGCCGAGGCAGAGGATGCAGGCATGCACAACACAACACGTGCACATGCAATGGGCGGAGTTCTGGCAAAAACCGTGCAAGGCAAGAGTTGCAAACGTATTTCCAGCAAATACCGAGGAAATGATGCAATGGTGAAGGATGCAGTGTGCAAGTGACACGGCACAGCACGCCTTCGCCCTGTGCAATTGCTTAAATGCAGCAGGAGATTAGTCCAGGACCCAGCCGCGCTTTAAGCACAGACGAAAGCCTTCAGGAACAAACTCAGAAAAAACTGAAATGACTCCACACCGCGAACGCTACACCCCGCACAGAAGGACCTCTGCATGTGGGCCACTTTCGCTTGAAATGCAGGGTGAGAAGAGCAACAAGGCTGTGCCTTGTGTGCAATGCGGGAGACACCGTTCAGCAGGAAGAAGTATTCATCCGCTGGGCCATAGACTTCAGTCCAATCCTCCGCCACACCAGATGAAGAGAAGCATCAGGTGGTAAGGGTTCCATCGTCATTGAGAGAGCCTCGGCGACAGCCTCCGGAAGCTCCTGAGTCGGCGGGGGGGGGGGATAGGCGAAGCTGGAGCAGCGGCCTCATCCACAGAGCCTCAGGATGTAACATGCACAGGCAGAGGCAACGGAATGGACTCAATTGAAGGCATGTCAGATGTACCAGGCACATTAGGCAGTTGAATGTCTATGTCCGCCTTAGGTGGAAGCCCACCCCGCAAGCGTGGACGATGTGGGCGAAAGCCCTCGAGAGCCGCCCCAACCACCTGGCGTTAGAACTCCAGAGGGCCAGCCACAGCATCCCGACCGTAGAGATCAGACATGCCAGCAATGGAAGAACGGTGATGACCCTGCTGCCGCTGTAGAGCCTCGCGAATAGGAAGTTGACACCCATAGCTGAGGAGGGTGACCTTCAGAGAGTGGACACCAAGAGGATCCGGCTCCGGTCTGCAGGATGCAGGCGTGTGCTGATAGCACTCATAGAAAAGACACCTGAGAAGCACCACGCCCTCAGAGCGCGACATGGGCGCAAGAGACAAAGGGCTTGCCGGGTCGTCGCCCATCTTCGCCAGCAGAAAATCAGGTGTGAAGTTAGGATGCAGCATCGCCGTCGCCTGCAGCGACAGTTGCACGAGATGTAGCCAGGCAAGAGCCCAGCCAGATGCGCCACGATGCAGAAAGCCCCCTGCAACCGCGCCAAATGGCATAAAGCGCCGCGTGGTCTTGGTCTTGAGGCAGACACCCAGGAGACAGTCACCCGTGATGCATAGCCAGGACGCGCTGCTGTGTGGAGATGGAGCAGTCCAAAACTCTCCGCTCCAGAAGGAGGACAAAACTGAGCGGCAGTGGAGCACTCACACGGCGCTCAACGATGGATCCTGATCTGGCATAGGCAGACACAACGTCAGAATGCAGGGCTGAGCGCAAGGCATCCAGGCTTGCCCGCCGAGAGACAAAGCGCAGGGCCTTGATCCAAGTGGTGGCCGTCCGCCAAACGCCCCCCCCCCCCGGGAGTTGGTGGCGAGAAAGTCCAGCAGGCTGTTAACGTCCGGAATGTAGGGATTCGCCTCACTGACAGATGCAAAGCGCAGCCAATGCCTCCATTTCGACAAGTAAGCAGCCAATGTAGATGGAGCAAAGGCAGAGACCCTCTTGGCGAGGTGAGCGTCGGCCTTATCATTTCAGAGATCTGCTTCTGCAATGCCAGCTGGTAGGCCTGATGGACCGTGCCTGGCAATCCGATGCAAGGTTTATCAGGGCAAGAATCGTAAAGCAACCTGCTGCCGCAGAGAGAGTGCACGCATCGACCGGAGTCACACAGGACGAGAAGACCCCATGTGGGAGACGTCGAGGTCCGAACGGCGGCGCAGCAGAGTGGGCCTGATGGAGCGGTAGCCACATGTCAAGTCTTCCGATGGACGGCCCGGACCCCAGGATGCCGGACGGTCGCGTACCTGAACCAACTGCAAAATGCAGAAAAGTGGTCCACGATTGAAGGCACAAGATGAACAGGCATCACAAGGAGATGAGCGTCGTCTCGGTGATCTCAGCGGGAGTTGGCACGTGCTGGCACAGTGTTGGGCTCCATCAATGACGGAGGAAGCCTGCAGATGAGGGAGAACACTGGGCAACTGCCTGGAAGGCCAAGGTCCCGTTGCAGTGCAAGGCAACCATAGTGGTCTAGGCTTGAGAACGCAAAGCAGCAGCCAACTCACATCCAATGTGTGATCCTGCGAATGTGCATGCACCGAAATGCAAAAGGAAGAGCCACCTAGAGCATTTTCCGCAAGGCGCAGAAGTCACTCTGAATGTAAAAGACTGCCTGAAAGGTTATGCAGCCTGAGAAGAACGACTCTCAGTAATTGCATAAGGCACTGCAGCAGATGAACCCGAGGGCGGCTGATGAACCTCGGCCAGAGATGCACCTTGTACCGTCTCCTGATGCGCCAGTAAGAGACCCAAAGTGAAGGTCCTCATCAGGACCTGCCATAGCCCATGACTTCTCACTTTTGTGAAGGGAATGGCACTGCACGGCCCCCTCTCCGGGAGAAGGATAGAGGGCCTCTGCACACATATCCCCCGCAAACGAGGCCCAATGAAGCTCAGGCCCCAAGCCTTGTGAAGTTAGCGATGCAAAGGCGAGCCTCCCTGCAGCACGAGGAAAACAATCTCCACAGCGGCACGTCCGTAAGAAGCAGCAATCGGCCCCCCACGGAGTCGGAGCCCAGGAACAGGACGAAAAGAGGTAGCGGCCTGTCCAGCAAAACCTCTGCCCTGAGAAGCGTCACAGCCCGCAGTATGCGCACAAGCCGAGGCAGATGAAAAGCTCTGGGGCGCAAGCGCAAGTACACAACCCCCTCTGGTCTCTCCGCCGGGAGAGAATCTGAAGAGATGTCCGAGGAGGAGGCACTGTCCATCTGCTGAGCCCAACGGGGCCCAGCGTGCAAGGAGCCCTAGCGGCAAGCCCGTCGGTAGCACCCAGAGCCTGCTGGAAAGAGCCTACTGGACTCAAGGCTCGATCAAATGTTTGCTACGATGGAGTCGAGCGAGCAGACAAAGGCATCGCAACGCGTCTCCAGATGATGCAATGAATGTATGCACGAGGGGCATGCGGCACCTAGAAAGAAAGGCGCCGTAGCCAAGAAACGCAAGCGATATTTTATGCAATGCAGAAGAGCTAAGCGAGCTCGAAGCGCACAAGCCTGGGCAAGAGGCCAGGCAGGCAGATCCCAAGCACCACAGGCAGGGGAACCAGACTGTGGTTACCAGCAGCATCCGAGCGCAAGACCACCTGAGGGTGCCACTAAAGAGCTCGGGCGATATAGGCTGGACCTGAGTGTAACAAAGATAAGCACACTTCGCAGGAGATGTAGAGGCAAGCAAGGAGAACTTGAGGGACCCCGAGCTGTTTAGAAATGCAGGCATGAGCGTCGTCTTTGCCATGCAACATTACGGGCGAACGGCCCCAGAGAAGAGCGAAGAGAAGCTGTTGCAGCCACTCTGGCGCGCGCGCCAAGCCCATATGAAACACCGAGAAAAGCCGCAGCGTCCGTGAAAGATGGATCCTCTAGGGGCACCACGACAAGCTCCGAAGAGGAAGGCCCAGTGTCCATCGATGTAGATGTGATGACCTCATCTTCGCACAGGTGCAGAGGTCCAGGCACAATCCCGTGCCCATTCGCCTTGAGCCTTTGAGCCGAGAGTCGGGGAGGGAAGGTGTTAGGGCCCGTTCGTACACGGGACAACCGGCCTAAAGGACTAGCCCTTTTCGAGAACCCCAAAAGTCAGCATGCAGTGGATCAAGAAAACCCTGAGTGAAACTTGTACTACTTTGGAACGCACTGTCGGTGCGAAGCTCGAAAGATTTGTGATGACACTGTGTCATCTGTCCGCGCAAGCCTTTGCAAGAAGTGCTATGTCAAGTGTGGCACCTATTCGGAATGCA